ACTGCTAGTTATATCGTATTTGTCTGGGTTTTGTAGGACTTCACGAATAGCTGATTGGGTGATTGCTAGGTGGTCTGGTTTGTGTAAATATAAAGTGTTGGTCTTCTCCATGTTCTTTTGGGGTTTTATTGTTTACAAACTTTTTTGTATTGAGAAAAATAGCCAAAGCATCTTTGACAAAAGGTTCTGCACCAGGAAGAGAATCTGGAACATAGCTTGGTGACCCCTCTTAAAGTGTGGTGGTCTTGAACCATCCTTTCTTTTGTGTTTCCTTCCCCTATTTCCTATTTCGGACCAGATCTTCTATTCTTAAAACTTGACTCCTACCCTATCCCCCTCCCCAAAACAGCCCCCCTCCCACATATACCTTTAAACCCTGAAAAAGCTATAAACACTCCATCCCTTGTTCCTAATATCTTGTGTCAAGACCATTCCTTGATGTGATTCATACCAATACACTTGTATTTGAATGGATCAACCCTACTTTAATCTCTAATCTTAGGGTAGAGAGAAGCAAAAGCAACGAGGGGGGCCTTCCATGTAGAAATAGGGTCTGGAGACCAAGAAAGGGAAGATGAATGTATAATCCAAGTCACTCAGGAATTTTTATGCAGGTGCAAGAAACTTACGTCAAAGTGGCCACAAGATTGTTTAATAGGAGACGAACGAATGTAACTCCATGTTTACTGCTAGAAACCAAAGCTTTGTGTGAAATCTTGAACTTATGGGGGTGGGTTGGGGTAGGAAAGCTTGTACCTATCTGTTCTTTCCCTGATCCCTTCCCCTCATTTCTTGAACTGCAGGAGACTGAGCCCCCCTTGGGCTTTAGTGACTCCATCTCTGGGGGGTGTTTATGTGGTTGATTTTGCTGTGCCGGGTACTTCCTTTCCCCACCTGCTATTGTTTTGTAATACACATGCTGACCCTTTTCCCTTCTCTTTTTACCCTGGGAAAATCCAATGAATAAATAAAAAGTTATTGGTACTGAAACTGTCCTCTTGTTGGATATTTAGGGTGTTTTTCTTCCATAATTCCCACCTTCTTGGATTGGGACTCAGAAGTCACAGAAGAACCATTAAGTTTCCTGTTCAGCCATTTTGTTAGAAATGAATCCTGAAAATTCAGTCCTCTTAGCACCTCATTACAGTGGATTTTTGTTTCTAGTTAAGGCCTCTTGTCCTTTTCCTTGGAAGCTGCCACATTCAAGAGGGGATTAGGAGCTTGGCATGCATAAGAATGGGGTTGCCTGTGCCACTGGCTGGGATGAAAGGATGGGGCCATGGCTTGGGGCATGAGACCCTAATACTTTCTCCCCTGCTCCTCAAAGCCTTTTACAAATCTTAATTAATTAACCCCCTGTAGCACCCCAGGGAGGGGAATATGTGGAACTAGGGAAATTGAGGCCAGAGGAAGTAACACTGATTAGCTATACAAAAACGTTAACATTTTATTGGAGTGCAAGTGTGCTAGCCTTCTAATGAACATTGTATTTTAAAACATCTAGTTCCCCCACCCCCAAGGGAAGGATTTAAGAAGAAAAAAACTTGCTTGGAGGCACGCCATTTATTACACAAAGTGCACAGAAACAGCAGAACAAGGCCAAGAAATTACATACCCACTCCAGAGATTTCACGCCCAAAAGTCAAAGCTGACCATGGAAGCTGCTAAAAGTAGCAAACTATTACAGGGCTTCAGTAAATGGTCTTCTGCAAAACTGAAGTAATCAGCTAGGCTGAAACTTAGCTCCCAGGATGCAAAGCAGGAAGGATGGAAAAGCTTAAGACTATTCATGGGTGGGTTACTCATCTCTAGGGCTTTCTTTGATCATGTGTGTTAAAAGTAACCCTTTCATCAGACACATGATGAACTAAGGAGTTACCAGTGCAGCAACTCTTCCTTACCTTGTTCCTCGGATGAGATTACAAAGTGAGAAACTACAAGGTTCTTTGGAAATTGTAAAGTTGGGGTTTTTTTCCCCCTGCTTTTCTAATTTTCAGAAAATTGAACTCAGTTCCTTTTGTGAGTGCTCAAATTCCTGCAACAGTTTTCCTTAAAGGTTTGGTACAGAGCTTAATGCCTATGATTTTTCTATCAAGGTTAATCGATGGCCTCTCAGTTATTTTATTAGTCATTCTTAGAGCAGAGCTTTCTGGCCTCAACCCTATTTTGAGTTCCTCTGGGTAGGTCCTGAGAATCTGAAAATCTTAAAATATGAGTGCACAAATCAGCACAAAATGGATTGATAGTAAGTGGGTCTGTGAGACTGACTAGAGCTAGGAATTTACCAAATGACTAAAATCCACTAAACAAAACTGCAAACAGTAAATACAGGATTTGAAAGACTTGGGCCAGGTCTCTAGGCCTTCCAGCGTGCGGGACACCGCCCAAACTCATTTCTCAGCAGTCCTAAACTGCCACCAGCGGCTGTAACGCCCTTGCGCTTCGGCATGGGGATCCCCGAATTCTCGCTCTTTAGGGGAGCCCGCCCGAGGCCTCCCGATCTGCGGAGAGATACAGACCTCTCCGCTCCCCGAGGCGATCTCGGCCCCGCCTTTCCCGGCCGGGTCCCCAAGCACGTGGCCCGGAACCCGCCCGCCCCACTCGGTCACGTGAGCGCAGCTCTTCCCTGCCCCGCCTCCGGGAGTGCGACTTTTGGCCGGAACGTTAGCACCGCCCCTCCTCCAAGCCCGCAGGCGCAGGGCCCGACACCGCCCATTGGGTGGCGGGAGGGGGCGTGTTCCAGCGCCCGGCGATGACATATTCTTCCAGCGCCACGTCGTGAGGAAGTGTCGAGCCACTGGAGCAGCCGGAAGGTTCCGGGTGGAGTGGAGCAGGTGCTGGGTTTAAGCGGTGAGCGAGAGAGGAGAGAGGTGACTGGGCGGGATGGGGCGGGGGGGGCGGCTGTGGGAGAAACAAAGGGGCTAGTGGAGGAGATGATTGAGGGAATGATAATGGGGAGACCTCTGAGGTTGGAGGTGTCGGGTGCAACCCCTGAAGGGGTTGGTGTGTTGGAACGCAGAATGAGAAAGGGTCTCTGGGAGGATGGAGAAGGAAGAAGCGGGGAAGGATCAGGATGCAGGCACTGTGGTGTGGCAGGAAGGCGACTTGGATGTCCGAGAAAAGTCGGTGCAGTTTCCAAGGAAAAGAGGATAGCAGCAACGTCTACCAAGCCAGAACTAGGGAAAGGCCTCGGCCTCTACCCCAAAGGTCTCATTCGCTATAAACTCTGGGTGGTGAAGAGTTATAGGCTTAGACCAGTGTCTTTGGATCCTAATGCTGGCTACTCTGCACAGTCATCTGAAGCTGTTTGCAAGCTTTGGTGATTTGTTCTCTTTCTTGTTTATCCAAGGTTACCGGGCTGGTGTCTTCTTGTTCTGGGCTCATCCTCTGCCAGGGCAGGAGCTATGTCATGGATCAAGGAAGGAGAGTTGTCACTTTGGGAGCGGTTCTGTGCCAACATCATAAAGGTGAGTACCAGTTGGCCTGCTGGTTAGTTGGGTAATCTTGTGTCAAAACCTGTTATTAACATGGAGTAGTAATCCATGATGTTAAGAGGAATTTAGCAATGGAACCGAAGAGTCTGAATTGCAAGGTAACTTCCAGGTCTGTGTTTCTGGCAGGTAATTGTCCTAATTTTCATGCTTTCAAGAACCCCGGGACCTCCCAATATCATAGACTGTTAGGTCTTCCTTACAGTTCGAAGTTTGTTACTTGGAACTTTGATCTATTTTTCCTTGTACTGTTCTCTGGATTTAGATAGAATAATCTTTCCTTGATGTGGCAGTAGAGAATGATGGTTAAGAGTTTGGGCTCTAGAGACAGACAAACAGATCAAAAGTCCCAGTGTATCATGTATTAACCTGTGACTTTATATAGTGGTTTTTGGATGAGAGGAAACATAACACCAAAAATAGCACTCTGTCTAGCAGTTCT